GTATCGCATTGTATGGGAGGAGCAACATGTATGGTCTGCGGTCCGACTCGAGATGTTTTTGAGCAATCTTCCGGCCGTTGGTCTTTGCTCTTTTCTCCTGGCCCTTGCGGTATTTTGGTGCAATTGTGACTAATGAATTTGATGCCAGCTTTAATTAAATGGTTTGTTCGTTTGACGAGCTTCATTTTTGGCCCTAAATTTCGTACCGGCACTTTTAGGTTCTTTTCTAAAGCGATGACTTTGGGGGTCATTATACCCGTTGGTCAACATTCTGGTTTTTTAAATCTGCATTCTCCCTTGCCTCGTACCTTTCTAAAACTCTATAAATTGAGCTTTGATGAATTCCTTCTCTTTAAAACGGCTGTATGTCGATCTCCCGGAACGCGCACAGCTATTTTCGCAGTTAGTATCTGATACGTTTTGCGAGTTGGTCTGAAGTTTTTCACCTCATTTTGGAACGGTTTGGAATTTTGAGTTTCAGTTTTCAGATCCTTCTTGGCAATTAAATTCGGCACAAAATTTACTCTCGTGCAATTTTGAGACTTGTGAATCTTACGTACTGTAGTGCATCAAAATTTTACGTCATTCATTCCTGGGCATACCTTACATACATATAAGGTGTATACAATTTTGCATGCAAAGCAAAAACCAAGTCTTCATATCACTATTTGCTTGTCCAGCATACATGCATTGTGCGAGTAAAGATTTAGTCACTTGATCAGACCCAATAGCAGAGCATTTTCCATCACTTTCAGTGTCTGTTTTTCTCTTACATAAACTAAAAAATCGCGAAAGTTATTGATGGGGAACTTTAGAATTTTTTTCTTCGTAGCTGTTTATATTTTTATTAAAATTAATCACACAGAAACAAACCCATGTCCATCCCCAGTGGCAAAGTTGTTGGATAACTGGGACCCGTTAACAATTTATGCAGAATTTGACGAGGATTTGGTCAAGCATGGGACTTATATGACTTCAATGGATTGTCAAATTACGTTGCTCGACAAGTATTGGGATGAGATTGCTGAGTTCGAAAGGTGAGAATAATAAATTTTCTAATCTTTCTTGAAAACTAGTCACAAACCAGTCATACTAGACGCTGTGCTTTAATTGTAACTTTGTATATGCAAATAAATTCAGTTTAACAGTTAAGAGTCTGACTCACACGAGCGGTGGCTAACAATGGAGGTCTCCCAACGTATTCTCACAGATTTGGACCAAACTAGTGTCAATCGATCACAAATATAATTAGTATGCAATTTGCAAATGGAACTACCTGCCAATGCGCAGGTTTGGCGGAGATATTTGCATAAAAAGCAGAAGAAATGCGCAGGAAATTTGGAAAATGAAAAATATGCCAGCCGTTTGGTGCGTTTTCTCCTCTTTTTATGCAAATATCTCCGCCAAACCTGCGCATTGGCAGGTAGTTCCATTTGCAAATTGCATACTAATTATGTTTGTGATCGATTGACACTAATTTCGTCCAAATCTGTGAGCATACGTTGGGAGACCTCCATTGTAAGTTAGACATGCATATATACATATATATCTGTCTGGTTGTCTTTTCATTATTATGGTAGATTTAAATTTAATGTGTAAGTGTAAATAAGCAATACATTTTGCCTATATACGAAGAAAGACGGTTCTTAATCGAAATTTTTTGTTATCTCTTAAATAAAGCATGATTAAAAATTAAAGTTTTGCAACAGGCGTATTGTTTATAAATATGAAGATTTCGATTGGTAATTTCAGACAAATTCTTCAAGTGATTATCAACAATGGGACATCAATTAAAAAAACTAACAAAAAAGGCACCAACGATGGAACAAGCAACAAAGCAAACAACCCGGCAAATTCGAAGCATCGTTTGTCCAAATTCATCCTTAAATCAGCCGTCGTTTTGTATCCCTACCCATCGACAGACTACGAGGGCCTACTTTGGTCAATACATAGGTTACAATGGCGAATCCAAGAAAAACGATTGGATCCAACCTACTTGATTATACACTTGGAACTGCTGCTAGAAGACATGACGAGCTTTTTAGACCAACTTCGTCTTACCGATTGGATTCTTACATCTCAGATTTTCTTAATCCATCAAGGTCAACCATACTTGGCACATCTAATGCATACGCCTGAGAAACTCTTTACACCACTCTTCAATGAGAATGGCAAAAATATTTACACCGAAGAACAGATTAAAAAAATGTGGATTGATGACACCAAAAATTTTGAAGAATCATATATCGACATGTTGGGATACGACAGAGACATTCCTGACTCGGGAAGCGATATTTGTTCCAATATAACTTGGATTTCTTACTTGGACGAGGGAGGGGATAAGAACTGGAACAAGAAGGACATCAAGCCTCACGAAATTTGTTTAAATTTTCTCCTTAGGGAACAACATAACTCGAAGTTACCATTTCAAGATCCTAAGAAGCCAGCCCAGGTAGCAAATCGCATCACATACACGTACATGGTTGATGATGTTATAGATTATCGGAACAATAAAACTGCATATTTCGATGCCTACGTCCATCCATACGGGTCCGTCATGGACACCTATGTCATCACGCTAATTGCTAACGACCCAGTCCAAACGGCGGGCGCAGGTGCATTATTCGCTCCATTCGACACTATGACCTGGATCCTGGTTGTCTGCTCCGTCCTCGGAATTGTCGTGACCTTTAAACTTCTCCTAATGTCCGATAACCGAGACCTTCTTTTTACTCTTAAAGTTTTCCTCTTTTCCTTCTTTCTATTTCTCGGACAAAGTAGTGCCGACTACTCGCGCCGTCTATTTCGCCCGTTCTGGCGTGGCGCCCCCCTTCTGGCCCTGGTCTTCGTCACTACCTTCTTCATCAAGAATTTCTACGAGGGAGAGCTCTATAGTTCTCTCTCTCTCAAACCAATCCCCTCCTACCCGACCGGCTTGTTGGAACTAATCGATGCAAAATTTCCCATCGTCAGTACCCCCGAAGACGCCCAGCATCTCAAATTAGAGTTGGAAAAGCGTACTGAGCTCGAAAAAATGAAACAATTCAAAGTTACGTATAAAATCAAGGATTTCTGGGACTACATTAAATTTCCGGAATATTCCAGTTTTGACACGACAGCAATGTTCATCATCAACAGCACCCACGCAAGCCCCCTTAATTTGGAGAATGAGGAGAAATATCAACTCCCAGCAGAGTATGCCATCGTGGGAAAGAAAATGAGTGTGGAAAGTCACGTCCGTCTGCTGAAGGCTTTGGGGGAGAAAGTGACGGTGAAAGTGGAGCCACTCGTGGTGATCAAGGCTCACAAAGCGATCATGACCTGGAGATCACCCCTAACGCCGACCATTCGACGAACCTTGGGCCGTTTGGACCAGTCTGGAATTTTTCAATATTGGCAAAAGTATGGACAAGATTACCAGTTTTTGGGAGACTTTCGCCGTCTCGTTCAAAATGCCACTTGGCGCACCATCAACAGAATTAATAAAGGATTTGATACGATTGATCGCTTTGCAAAGGAAAATTTCCACTTTCTCTACACTCCGAAGGTAACTCCAGACCACAAAACTAAATGGATAGGCGTTACCATGGATACGCTGCGCGTTCCTTTTTTCCTCTATTTTGCATGCATGGCGGTGGCTAGCCTAGTCTTCATGTACGAATATCTGGGCACTCGTATGAGGATGATACTGAGGAGGTGGCGACGCGTTGCCCCGATGACCGGAGAAATTATCCCACTTGTGAGCAGAGGTGTGCCAAAGGTTTTCCATCCAGAAGGAGACGCCGAGCAAGTTGGAGATGATAACGCGGAACGAGATCAGCGAGTAGACGTCTTGGGAGATGCTAACGTGCATGAATTTCAAGATCCTGATCAAATAAACCGAGGTGGTTCAGAAAATCACTGCAGAGAAATTGTCCCATACGATTACAAAGCTGCTAGACGACAAATCCTTAACATTCCAATCTGTAAGTTTGAGTTTGGAACCTTGGACCTGCACCATGGATGAGAGGCTGGCCTTGGATGAGACGTAGTCGTGGAGTGGGCCCTATGCTGCGTAGCCACGTCGAAATGGGGGACATAATACCGAGACGAGAAATTCCGGAAGGTGGGATATGTCGTGAAATACCGTGGGTGCCGGGGGCACGGCGTCACAATCATGACCAGATTGCACACTCTGCAGATTCACCAGTCTGAACCCAAAGTAAACCAATATTTTTCACTTTCTCCTAGCTTTCACTTGATGTTAGTAAAGTCAGAAATCTCTTTATTTATTTCATAAATTTATTTCCACTCGTGCTACTTGCGAGATTATTAATTGTGTTACACAAATCGAAAATTAAGTCAGCCAATGATGCAGAATTAACAAAGTTTTAATATTAAACATACATTTACATTCACATTAAACATGCAGTAAAATATTAAGCTTGTCATGATCTGAATTGATACCAAATAATTAAAACTATTTATTTCATCAAGGTCGGCGCTTTTCGAAATACTGAAGTTAACTATTAAATAACAAAATAAGCATTGCTAAATAATTAGAACAAACACAATTTAGTAATAATTCCTAATAATAATAGTGATAATAATAGTGATTGTGTCACATACATACATAGGTATATCTAAATTGCCGTTCAGGAATAATAACTTAAAAGCATATATCCATATACAAAAATAACACTGAATAATGGAAATGACGCAAGACAACGTCAACATATTAAGCACTCAATTTGCTCATTACGGATGCAATAAAATGTGAGATCTTTACATTTAGCTGCTTAACTTCTACATTAAAATAGTATTCGTAGTCCAAAAAATATAACATTCACCAACATAATAAATTAAACTCTACGATAAGTCACAACTTTGTTTCTCGAGCGGACATGAAATTCAGTTGACCCAATCAGGTACACATCTAACATTTTTTGTGAGTCGTTAAATTTTGCAAATGTGTATATATAATAATATATATTTACATATTTGCGTTAATTAATTCTTTAGTTGACCATTTCGCTAGAAATGCAGCAAAGATGTACGTACAGTCCAACAACGGGAAAGTTTATACTGCAAACTTCTAGTCATTACAAATTTGACCAATTTAGGTAATAAGTTGATGAGAATTCAATTATAAACTTTCTTTACAATTTTGAATTTTTAAGAATTTTAAATTTTCTTATTTGATGAATGCAGTGGGTATAAATATTTCAATCGAAATAATATCCAAAACAACAGGAGGAACGGGATGCTGGGAGGAAATAAGATGATCCAAGCAAACGTGAGTGCAAACTACTGAAAATTAATTACACAAAATTAGTGATATATTATTTTATTTCGAACTCAACAGATTATTACGCAAATTTACCCCATCCTCATCCAATGTGATTTTAACTTAAATTTCAATCAATAATTTATTTTAAGGTAAAATTTTTTTACATGTGTGTTAAACTTTGGACCCACCTTGTACATAAATCCTGGTCAAATGTACATATATTGTAGAGTAAGTATTAAAATATATAAAAAGTGGAAGAAGCACATATGACATATTAGATACAACTGCTCTTTTAATGCTGATTTGATTTCTCTGTATGCAAAACTGCATAATAAAGTGAATATATATGCACACACTGAATGGTGCTGCATTTTGTCTACAATTACTTATAATTGATCGTAATTCGTAATAAATTAACTACAGCTTTTAAATTATCTGTAAAAATGAGACAAAGTTCCTTAAACATCAATAATACTTAACACGAATACTTTTGCATTTACGCAATCGTTGGAAAATGTTTAGGATGAAGGCATCCTGTCAGAAACAATTTATGACATTTCATATTCACCTTGTGCAGACGAATGTAAATATTTTCCCATCTACAATTTCGCATCAATCCAGAAAATCTGCGATGCTAAAGTAATATAAGATGATAAAGTAATATCTTCTCATAATTAATCAAGCTGAAATTATGACCTGAAAATTTTAGTTGACAAATTCACTTTCTTACAAAAAATCAAGTTGAAATTCATTCATTGTCATTTCCTGGGTTTCAATCCAATCAATCTGTCCATTGATTTCATGTTTCATTAATCTATCATTCCTAACGAAAATGTGAAGTTAAAAAAACTGTCCCGTTGTTTCAAGTTCCATCAATATCACCGCACAAGTTTGACAATGACCTGCATGCCGGAATATGTAGCAAGCGAATGAAAGTTAATTCAACCTTATCGTGTCACTTCCGGATATGACACGACTCTCTCATTGTCAGTCGTGCCTCACTAAGCGCACCACAATGCATGGTCAAGACCAATGCATCATTACCACGATCCATCACCACGGCCAGACTTTCTCCTTCCTACTTATTTCACTCGGTAGCAGTAAGTAATCATCGCAACGTTGCAAACATCCAGTAGTAGGGAAAAGCTGATGGGATTTTTCTGTCGCATGGACCGGAAAAGCTGTTCCTTTTCACAAGAAATGATGAATCAGTGTAGAGTGGAAATCACGAGTTTTTTTTTGGTTTTATGTACTTTTATGGTGCATGGGAATATTGACACTTGTCTAAGAGTATAAATGGATGGGTTCCTGTAGGCTGGATGTCACAAAAAACACGCAGAGTTACATCTTAATTGTTCCCACTATATTTACATTGTATTCATAAGGGTACGCTAAAATCAAGTTGGTACATACATATATATTATCACTTTGTAATATGTATTTACTAGTACAAGTATATAGTGGAAAGAAAGTTGCTCCCGAAATTTAAGCTAAATTTCTTAAGTGAGTAGTAATTTATATAGGTAATATTTTTTTACAAAAATTTTTCAGGGTTGTAGCTTAACTTGTACATAAGAGATCCCCAAACATATCTTGCATATGTAGTTGTTGTCTTCATTTTTTAACTGCGAAAGATAAATTTTCAATGGAAATTGCAAGAAAGTGCAAGGACGATAGGATATGCTCTCAAAGATTTTTGGCTGCATAATACAAGTTGCACAATAAATCTGTGTAGCTACAACAGATCGACTTAACTTCAACCGAAGTCCCCTGACTCTTTTTTACAAGTTTATTTTATTTTTATGTCAAAACCTCTTCTCAATTGTCCGCAGACAATGTGATCGTGTTAGGCGCATTGTGGGGATTGGCTGGATACAAATGGGTATCAGTGACGTTGGAGCTTATATTCTTTCCGAGTAAATAAAGTTGATGCAATTGAATTGAATTGTTTTGGTTGGTCAACCCTCCTCAGGTCTCAAATCTACTCAATCCACCAAAAAAGTCTCACCACTGATATTTCTACTCATCTAATGCATAAATATCACGTTGCTGGCGATGATAGTACTGCAGCTGAAATTGAGTCAATTTCGACAAGCTTATTCACTGACCGGTCACATCTGTAATCCAATTTCGTTCTTTACTCATTCTAAATACTTACGCTTTGGAGGGTTGCGCTGCCTCATTTGAAATGCAGGATTCCATCCATCAGAATCCCATAAACTACTCCTGCTCAGCATCCCTCTTACGTGACCAAATTGAGCCCAATACATGTATCATCAGTTAGAGTAGAGTTGAATAAAATAAAAATAAAATACAGTTTACTCGCCTTTCATTTCGAGTGCGGATCCAATTTGCAAAGGTGTTTTTTACGTTAAATTCCACCTGAGGGAATTTATATCGAAGTGTGCATTTTTCATGATGGGATGGAAGTCTTTCACTAAATAGTAAACCAGTAGAGAATTGTAGGATGGCTGAAATTGAGCTAAAATTTTCTCCAAAATCGCTAAAAAGTATATTAACATGCTGCGAATTTATGTAAGTCAAGCTATAAACATTAAAGTCGGTTATTTCAAACGATTTTCTACGTATGTAGCCGTTCATGATATTTAAACTTCATGATTTATGCGGTATTGAGAAATATTTATATAGAAATATCCAAATATTTTTATAATGCAACTAACTTTCGATCAAATTTTATATCCACGTCATTCAAACGATAAGTTTGTTGTATCCCTCCCCAAAAAATTCTGAGCCGAGCCCGAGTCAAATAAATCCGGTCAGAGTAATAATCATTTACTTGACATTACTTGACCTCATCTGGACTCAGCAGGAGAAGAATGACCAACAATGGCGAAACCATTACAGAAATGAGCTCCCATTTCTCCAAAGTGTCGAAATGTCCAGAGGAAGTAAACTTGTCCATTTCCGATGTAGGCATGAATCAGTGGAGCTGCCTCTCATTTCACTTTTCAAACTTATTTACACGACAAAGGCAGGGTCGTAAAATTAGGCTAAACCTGGAACCCCAGGAGGGTTGACAAAAAAGACATGAAACTTGTGTAACTTAATCCACAAGTGAATGAGCTTCCTTCGAAGAAAGTGAAAATAAAGAAAATGTCGCCTACTCGGCTTAAATGAAAGTAAAAAACCTTGATGGTACGAAGCAACGTAACTGCCCCTCATTTCCTCTCCTCTAAATCCAAGCAGGTTTTATGACAACGAGATCTTTTCATTCATTCCAAATGTCACCGAGAGTCGTTGGGATACGTTGCGTCAGTTAATGTAGGAATGAAACCGAGTACACCACTAAAACCGTGTACATAAGAAACAAATGCTAAGGAAAGTGAAAGTGAAAGTTGATTTCCAACGGATAGATAAAATGAAAATAAGGACGTCAATTGATGCAAATAAATACGTTATATTTTGAAGAATAAGGTTTCGAAAATGAATTTAAATGTGGCAAAAGTAGTAGCCGACATAATTGTTGAGGGTGGAGTGAAGACTTGCAGGTCTTGTTGACAAGCAGGCGGACGGGTTTCCTCTTTGTACAACTAATCCTAGCTGGGTTTGAAATCCTACGTCAAAAGCAGGAAGCATTTCTCCACTTCCATATTGGAAAATTGTGCGAGAAGTCACACTTAATCCGCCACACCAGGCACCATCTAAGAAAAAAAAACATTTAGTAAATTTCCAAAAATTATGAAAATATTATAAATAAACCTACTGTCATCGGGTGTAGTTGCCGCTTGGACGAAATCCAATTCACTTTGGAAACGAAATTGTGCTAATTCCATCCCCATTTCTTGACAACCTTTATTCGCATCTGCCCATTTACTCTGAAACCAAAAGTTTCAAATTATCAATCTACGACTAAACTCGTAATTTTGATACCTTACAAATGTCCTTTCAATGTAATAGTTTCTTCCGTTAGTTTTGCCCAACCAAGCGAGGCGTGGATGAAGTAAGAACATTTCAGGAGAAAGCGGCCCAGTTTCTGTACAATCAGAAATTTATACAATTTCGTAAAATTTATTTTCTTATAATTTATAATTCCGTATCACATACCATTTTTGGGGTGAAGCTTAATTGGGTCCGCAATGGTAGTTTGCATCTGCAAAATTGTCACCACCGCAAAGAAAAGGACGGTTACAATGTTCGCCATTGTGCCTGCTTTCTTTCTTCTGGTAAAAAATATTGAAGAGTGAAGGCAATGGGATTGTCTATGTATGTTCTTCATTGAAAAATCGTTTATTTATATGGGAGAAGAAATCTAATCTGGGGTTAAAATTCCAACATATTACCGTCATGGTAATCGTCACTACTTTTTCTGACCAGTAACATAGTCATAAGTAGACACATTTTCGCGTACGTGATACACGTGTTGAAGTATTGAAGTGTCATTCGCGTCAAATATGTAAGTATGTATGCACGTATTTATTTATATGCTGTATCTATTTTATGTATATAAACACATCGTTTAATAACAACTCGTACATATTTACATTCCTACTCTCACTATACTTGAATTTTGAAATGGAAATACCAATTACGCCTCAAATAAGTAAGCAATTATTCTGCAAATGGACATGACTTCACATACTCGATTTGATTGAAAGGTGATCACAGTTGCGTAATGGTTGCAATGTTTGTTTAAATTGGCTGATTATCAATTTTGTTGTTTATGTGTAATTATATAACTTATTACTATTTGTCATCATTGGAGAAATATCTCGCGAGTCAAAATCTTCACACTGTATACATACATATATATAGATAATATGGCCTTATGTATACGATACATATGTACAAATGTATGGCCAATTCATCCCGGAACAAAACACAAATACACACACACATAGATCAGACTTCAAACTTTCGCATCCAAAAACCTGAAAAACCCCACCGGGGCGTCACCATCCTCTTAAGAATAGATCATAAACCACTCCAAAAACTAATTCCTAAATCATAACTTGCAAACTTTCCCAATAAAAAAATTAGCCAACTGAATCGGAAAACTACAATGTCCGTTCCAGGATTGAATACAAGTTGTAAATTTTTATATCCCGTCCACCCAGATCCGATCGCCATCCGCACAATATATCAAGCGTAACATTTTACACTTTAGTCCGATTTATTGAATTACACCGAGAAATGCAACAATGAGAACTCGGTTGTAAATTGTGCCCCCGACACAGCCTCCCTCATTTCAACAATAGATTCGGCTTGTGTCACCACGACGGACTCTAACGTGACAGGAATTATTGCTCTGATTATTATTGAGAGGCAGTCGAGTGGACAGGATTACTTGACCAAAAGCATCCCCCAAAGTCCAGAACCTGGGGTGTCGATGATTCCGACGGCAATAAAATAATTCCAGAAATAAATACTTCAGAATCTCATGAGAGGAGAGATTACATTACTTACGCCGTAATATGTTTATGTATGTCCAGTTGCCCGATCCTATTTATACAGATTTGGGCTATGAATTGAATCTAGATTATTATTTAAAGATGAAACACTCCATGCGGGAATGTATGTATGTATTTACATCAAAATCTATAATATCTGCGCTAGTGTCTACTTATCAGTGCATGGAATTTATTTACCGAATGAAATAATGGTTTTGATCATGATAATGGCGAGATATTGAATATTAAATCAAAGTACAAGAATTTTCATAACGGTTCGTAGTGCCGTCTTCTAAATGAAATCGGACATGAAGTCGGTTTGAAGTGGTGTGTGGACATGATTTGAAAATGATCCCATTATTTATTTATTTGTCATCTCTTCCGCAATCATCCTCTTACTTATCTCTAGTTGGATGGTCACCGGCCAACTCGGTCGTGAATTTGAATAGCGTCACATCCATGGTTTGATTGCGACCGAAGAAACACCACTAGAAATTTAATATTAAAGTGAAATGGGAGACTAGCGATGAGGTGGAAGCAGTCTGGATGCACTTCACCTATTGTTCTCCACTAAAATGTCCTTCCAACGTATTTGCTTGGTCAGAGAGCATAAGAGAAGTGCTTTATTAATTTTAGGATTAACTAATGTCCAGTCCACTGGCTGACCAGTGTGTACTGAGGATAATGTAATTCCTCTTCAGAGTATCTCACATCAAGGAAGGTCAATATTTGTTCGTGCATTATACAATTTTCCTCCTGCAGAGATTTAATCTTCCAGGCATTCCACTTGTCCAAGAAATTCATAAAGAAACAACGCAAATCTGTAGAGAAATAAAGTTAGTAGAATTACCTGTTTTAATATATTACAAATTTTATATTTTGGGGTAATTCACGTCAATTTCCGTAAGTCAGTCCTAACTTATGAAACTTTTTTAAGGTAATATTTTCCTTGTGTATGTACGAAATTTTAAGTACATAAATATTAAAATCATGTTTAAGTTAAGTATCGTAAGTGGTATGAGTTGACCAATTGAATTTACAAAACTTGAAATCAGCTTGATTTGTAATTTGGCTCACCACTTTGGAAATTCATCTACCCCAAATCAATGATAAAAAACCTTCGATGTACAAACTCATCTAATTTGTGTCCCTTTCAAGTACCAATTATCTATACGTCATATTCCCCAAAAAAGCCGCAGATCGATTCCAAATGCCATCAAAACGATCCAAGTGGGTGTCCAGATGTCCCGATGGATGGAAATCTGATCGGTCATTCCTGATCACAAAGAAGTCGTACGAAATGGTCAAAGGGAGAGTGAATTATAACTGTTGACTAACAAAGCATAACTGATCTGGTATCGAGTAAAAAGAACATGCTTGCACAACCTTGCCACTCATGTACACATTACGTAAAGCTATCCTTCTGATCCTCTTCTGTTGTATCTCATTACTCCATCCAACTATTTTTTCCTCCACTTTTTTCTGTGTGTATAAGTCCGGACAAAAAAGTGATCCCTCAAATCCCCCCAAATCGGAAACATGTTCCTTTAATTTACTCTTAATCCCAGCATGACTCTGCTGTCGGCCCCTTATGTACATACGTACACGTCGAGTTTTTTATCATTTTTTATCATCTCTCGTCTGGTCAGCATCACGCCAAACATACAAATAAAATCAAGCTCAGCATGACACTGAGGAATATGTACGTATGTAGTTGCATTATCTCATTTTTGTAGACTTTTTATTCACAGACACATCTTGTGTTGACACTTCATTTACAAACCTCATCCGATTGTCCAGTCAGTAGACGCAGATTATCTGCCGTTATTATGTTTTGTCTGCTTTATTTGACGATGACGAGACAAGAAATGGAGTACGTACATAGGTTGGACTCGTCGTCGTCATGTAATGCTTTCTAAATAAATACGAGTAGCGTAAATAATTGTAGTAACTTTTTCACCATCTTTGTAAATGGAGAACTGATGAGACTCGAAATTTCGGCATTTACGATTATCTCACATTTTCCCCCCGTCTCAATGCACCTTCATCTCGATATTGTACAGACCCATATACATACGACCAAGTTCTAAACACTGTTTCTTGCACAGACAAATTCACGTCAAGCTTCCCCTAAAAAGAATCCTGTTTCTGTTTGGTAAAAAATTTGGACGTGAAAAAAGTGTCGCGCCTCCTGACTAATTATGGTCCGTGCTTTCCCTACTTTGTCATTATCAGCACCACAGTTTTTTTTAATTACTTTGCCATCACCAGAGGGTAACTGAATTACGGATTTTTTTAGAAGCAGAAGTGCACCGTAGAAGCTATTCTTTTCTTCTTCGTATTTTCTGAACTAGTGTCTGGTTTGTAAATACGTAGCTCACGGTATAGCTTCCTATCCTTTAATTCATTTTTCTACTTTTTACCATGGCACCCAACTATGTATTCCCTATGAACCGTATTGTGCCCATAATTTACTGGAGTGAAAGTAATGCGCAACCTTTTCCCCGTCGTCTGTCGCCCTTTTGCATCTATGTCGCTTGACATGGACTTATTTTTTTGTAAATTGACAACCTCGACTGTCTTTTTTCGAGTTTTACTCATTTATCTCCATTCGAGCTGATTTCAAGTATACGCATTTCGAATGCAGCAACTTAAAATGTGCAGTGTAACATCGGGGTCATTAAATAAGGAAGTGCTCTGGCTTGGTTCAGCCCGTGTGTTAATTGGATTATTTAATTATGACTGGAATTAACGAGGGCTCAAGTTTTTAATGCCTTTTTTACACCAACATTTCAATCTTAATCAAGGAACGAGTTCTTTTACGATTCAATGAGACCCATCCACGCGAAATATTCAAATTCTGTAATTTGATGAAAACTTTATGCACAAAAAAGATGCTCAAGTTATATTTACAGTTAGGAATATTATAAGCAAATACGATTTCATACACTATAACTTATAGGAAATCCAGTTTTAATTGCGTAGACAAAAAGTTCAGCATAATCTCCTAGTAAAGTTTAAGAACAAAAAAATCATCATAAAAACTTACTCTAGTCACTGGAAAAAAACATATGCATCCACTTATAAATATAGTTTTTTTCGATCGAAAAAAATAATTTAAAGTGTTCTTCGTTTTATTCTGACTTCAAGTATTTAAACTTCAATTTTATTAAAATTGTGAACCTCAAAACCAATGAAAGCGTTTGCACTGCGTCTGCTCTACATTTATTATCTTCCCCAAATTGGCTACTCGAGTCTCCACGGGAGACACCAAACAACGCATCAAAACCTTAAAATCTCAATCCCACAAAGGCAGGGAACGTGTGTGTGGATGAGATTAGAACAATGGAGCTCAATCAAACAAAATCACACAAGAAGTCGGCCGTGCACAAGTCCACAGTTGGACACCTGACAGATCTGGATGATCCGACCCACCAACGACCACTGCTCTTCATTTCCCTTTCACAAATATTAGATGCTCCCCATGGCGAGCAGGCTGAATTCAGAGTAATTAAAGCTAATTGAGATAATCACTCATTTCGCATGCCGGAATAAGAGATGCGACATCAACGATGTGGAACTGCTCAGAAGCAGAGCATTTCTGGAGAACAGTGAAAACGGAAAAATATTCACAAAGCATTGAAAAACTTGACTTTTCAGCCAACTGATTACTTAATGGATTAAAGTAATTAATACAATGATTTTGCAACCGTGTTTCTATTTTAACGTGTATTTGCGTAAGTGAGTAATAAAAATAATTAGTCTGACTCATTACTTAGAAAACTCGTCGTTTTGTTTTGATATTGACATAATTATTTCGGAGAAGGAGACTTTGGAATTGAATGAATTGTTAAATAATGGCTTAATCACCCATGAACGGCAAGTTTATTGCTTTGTCCAACCCGATGTGGTGACTGGTTC